AGTTTTATTATGAAAACACATAGAATCAACTATATTACCCACGTATCTGTAATAACAGAGAAACAGTGAATGTGGACCATCCCCATGGGGGACACATATCCTTTGCAAAACAAATATAAATAATGGAAATAACACCAAATACAATAAGCTAGCACATAACAAAGATTAATTAAGAGAAGAAACTGGGACTACTGAGAGGAGTCGTGAGCATGGAGAGGCTGTGTCTCTCTGAGCAGCGCTGGGTCCAGGTGGCCTTCCCTGAGACCTCCTGCCTCCAGGCCTGGAGCAGCTCAGTTCAGCTCCAGGTCATCCATGTACTCCTGGACCCAGGATTCGCTGGGGTTAGCACAGACTTGCCTGCCCTTTTTGGTTTGGAAGCTGTGGGAGAAGGAGTGGACAGGTTAGGATCCCATGGGACCTTGCCTAAGATAGCTATCTCTGTTGCCCGTGGTTCATGCTGGACAGCTCTAGTGGGCGGGCAGGCCCTCCCTGGAGTGGTGCTACACCAGACTCTTTGTGACTTCATTCTGGATTTAGTGTGGCCCCTGGGTTGCCCAAATTAGGAACCAATGAGTTTTGCCATCAGTATGGATATATCTCCCCATTCATCCTCTATTGGATGGATGATTTTTCCACATGTTTTTCTAAGCACGGTTTATGAAATCAGCTCACATCTTCTTGTTATCTTTTTTACTTTCCTTGGTTTCCTGGCTTCTGGCTAACTTCCCTGGCTCCCACCCAGCCCCCTCAGGACTCAACAGGTGACTTCATGACCTGTTCCTCACTGATTTCTGGGAGGGCTTCAGCCCCGAGACCTGCTTCCCTACTGCTTGATCACCCCTGCCCCAAGCAGACCTCCTCTTCTAATCCTGCCCTCACCCCCACTTCCCGAGCAGCCCCAGAGTTGATACTTACACCACAGCTGGCTGGGAGCAGAGGCTGCTGGTCTCGTAATAATCTACCACAAAGTTGCGAGGAAGCTTCCGCTGGATATAAGAGAAGCAGCAGGCGGTGGGAGGGTCTGAGCCCACTGGAAAGAAAGGCCAGGGTGAGATAGAAGCTCAATAAGGAGCTGTTCATTTTGGCTTCTAGTTATAGATATTCAGTGCGTATCCCTGTGGGGCTATCAGATGCCCAGATATGGCCCCTTGCCTCCAACCCTACCCACCCTGAGTATTATTCTGAATAGAGGATTCTAAGAGAAGATCACAAAGAACCCTAGAAGATTGGAGCTTGACTGGGACTCAGAATGCCTTCATTTTACAGAGACACCAAGGCATAGAAAGAAACAGGGACTTGATTAAATATGTTTACTCATTGCTCTTTCTTAAGAAAACAGGAACTTGACTATTACTGAATGTCTACTAGACTCCACATTTAACAGCAGACTACTCAGAAACCTGCCCAGCTTCCTTGCATCCCAACCCAGATGCCACTGTGGGACCAGCCCCTACTAGAAAAGTAGTCTCTGTCTACACTATGACTCTGGAGGTAGCAGCTGAGAGAGTGGACTTACTTGGTGCTGAGAGCGCTGGAGAGCAGAAGGCAGCCACCAGCACGAGGAGAGAGAGCACAGTTACACAGAGCTTCATGGTCTTGGTGGAGGGGAGGCTTTCCTGGGGCTGAGACTGCACAGCCCAGAAACTTCAGAAGCCGCCTGTGCTCTGTGCTGACACTGAGGTGGGAGTCCCCCTTTATAGGAACTTGGAGGCCTGGGATGGAGTTGGAGGCACAGGAGGGTGAGTGGAATTTCCAGGGTAGAGATGATGTCATGGTGTCAATAAGGAAACTGCAGCAGACTGAAAGTGAAGAGCTCTGCACAGGCTCTCTTCCCCAGGACGGTGTCATCACGGAGGAAAGAGCAGGGAGGTGTGGGGAAGAAGTGGGCCGCACTCTAGAGGGAAGTGGTACACCAAAGGCAGTAACTGAAACAGAGGAGAGAACTGTAAACCCACGAGGAAGGATGAAACATTCACACCTGCTCAAAAGGACTTGCCGACAAGAGGCACGCTGCTCTCAGTGGTTGGCACCTCCAGAACGGATGCTTCACAGCAGGCTTTCCAGGGTTGCCACAAGCTGGACCTCAAGACAGAAGGGGGAACCAGGATTCCATGTCCTATTCCTGGGCTGAGAGACTATAGTGCCTGGGTGCTTCCTCAGGCATAAAGAAAGGGACCAGCACTGAAAGTGCAGAAGGGCCCAGCAGGGCAACTCAGAAACACTTGCAGCTTCTCCTTACTGAACATTTACTGTGTGCCAGGCACTGGGCAAGCTGCCTTATACACACGACATCTAATTCCACCATAACACCAAGCAGGGGTGTGATTATTCATTCCCCTGACTAATGAGGATCAGAGAGCACAGCAGAGTTCACTGCCGTCTCAAGGCCACACAGCTGTTAAGTGGCGGTGCCAATATTTGAACTGAGATTCATCTGACTTTAAAAATCTATTTTTTCCCACCCTTGTCATCTCTAGAACAAATATAAAATGTGATCACAAAGAGGGAAAATGTTGTCCAGTAGGGGCTTTGTACAGGTGCCACACACCAAGACCCATCTTATTAGGGCTGAATCCAGAAAGGCATTTGGACCAGTCTGGCCTAGGACACACAGGGAACAGATTACAGTGTGTTCCCTTGGGACAGTATCTCTTACTTCCACAACAGACAAGGAGAAAGAGTTCAGGATAAATCAAGTTTGAAAGACCCAGATAAAAAAAAATTCCTCTAGTATAAAAATGGGATTGGTTATGCCTAACAATGAGTTTATAAGTGTTACATTAAATATAAAAATAAATTAAAATGTTTCCCATCCATAGGGAATCCTTGTGTTCATGTAAAACCCTGCCTGGTTCAGCTGCTGCTATTGCCTTGGAGGTGACTACGTGGGGCTTACAAAGCCCAGGGACATGCACGGAGTGGGGCAAGGAGGACGACGAGAATGACTGATCAAGACCCCTCCTCACCTTCCGCCCAACCCCTGACCCACCTGCTCCCACACTGCTGCCTGCCTCTGCTCTGAGAAAGAAGGATGTGTCAAGAGGATGCCATGCTCACTGGGGGGCTGTAGAGATAGAGTCAGAGCACCATTTTAGAGTACTTCAGGGTCACTAAATAAAGGACAGTGTCATCCTCCCTCATCACTTTACTTCTTTCCTCTGTCTTGTCTGTCCTCACCCTTTCTTTGCATGAGTCTTGCTTCAGATGTTTTGATCTTCACCAAGACCGCCATCCCCAGCTCTAATGTTCTGTCATCCCTGATAGCACATATCTAATATCTCTCCTGGTCGGTGGAGTTTCATCTTCATACATCAAGGGCCTTGCTTTAAGGGAAGAAGGATGTGTCTTCTGTTCCTGGAATCTACACAGACTTTGTTATCCATGGCATTTCCATTCAATCCAATTTAATAGTCATCTGCTTTTTGTCAGGGCAGACAAAGCTAAATGAAGCCCCATTCCTGCCCTCAAAGCATTCTTGTCTAGCGATGGCGCTGACATTGATGGAAATAACTATCCGGAAATGGAGTAAGGAAAATGTCATGTCAGAAATAGAAACAAAATGCCAGATAGCCTAAAATATGGATGAGGCCATCTCTTGGCTACACATGAATAGTTCCAAGTCAAGCCTAAATTCCACTGTGCACCAAGGAGGAGCCCCTGACATGGAGAACCCTGTCTAAATGAGTGGGGAGGCTGGTCTTCAAACAGTAGAGGGATCATGAAAACACCTCTGGAGAGGCCTCAGGAGAATGATGACAAAGGAGAATGGACAATTAGTCTGCACTGAGCCACACATTGAGATTGACTGTTGACTGACTTTTGCTTCCTAGCCTTGATTGGATCTTTGGCTCACAGAAGTTAAAATGTTTTGTTCAAGAAGGTCCCAACAATAATGCTGTGTTCACATTAGTGAAATTCCACACCAAGAGTACAAAGGCTTGGGTCAATGTGTTTACCTAAATCAATGGCCTACAAGATTTACACATTGAGGCCATTTGTAAGTAATACTTGATAAAGAATATACAAGAAAATGTACAACAGAAAGTGCTCCTCTTCTCTAGAGAACCTTCCTTGACCTCTCCTGTCACTGAATCCTGTATTTCCCTCTGCACTCCTACAGCCTCCTGAGCTACCCCTCATATCATCAATTACAGATCTATTTCTTTGCCCCCATCAAAAAGGGAATTCCTTGGTGCAGAAACTGTATTATGCTTATCTCTGTGCACACAGTAGGTGTTCAATAAACCTTTGTTTAATAAATGTCTAGAGGCAGCCCAAGCTACCAGTTTTAATGGGAGAGGATATGACAGATAAAATGGACTCAGGATGTGAACTCCATTTAGCTAAAAGAATGAACCGGGCATTCTGACACTCTACCAAAATGCGATTCCCCAGCTCTAATGGGGTGGTAATTCTTCTCCTCCCTCTGCCCTCATTACACATACCCAGTGGTTTTATTGTAAGGGGTACTATTTTAGGACTCAACTCTCCAGTTCAGGGGTGTGAGAAGTGACAGCAAGAGTCAACCATGGTTCCAGGGAGCTCTGTATGCATTATGTAGGCCAACCCCTCACTCTTGAGCCAGGAAAGCCTTCACTTCCCCTCACACATGGAACTGTAGAGGTTTCCCCTCCCACAGCCTGAGCTGGTACTCATAACTCCATTTTGAGCCCTTTCACATCTGTTTTTTGTCTTGTTCTCCCAGCCTTCCCAGGCTGCGAGCAGGACCACTAGTCACAGCTGTAATTTGACTTGCAAAGGTCCTGGTACTTTTGATTTCCCTCAGCATATCCATGTCCATGGTTTTATCTGATCCCAACATTTATGTTGTCATTGTACAGATTAGGAAGAAAAACCCAGAGAAGTTAAAACATTTGATCAAGGTCACAGAGGATATGTCAAGACCCAGGGTCTTCCAATTCCTGGTCAAGAAATGATCAAACTTCTTTTACAGGTGTGACCCTCCAAGTAGGGAGGGTCCTGTAGGGAGTCTCTGAAGGTACCAGACACCCAGAGGAGGTTACAAAGCTCCTGTGGAGCAGGGAACAGGTGCTCAATCCCAACATGCTATGCTCTCCTATCAGGAGGGCGCTGAGAGGCAGGAGTGTTGGGGAGACCATTGCATGTCGGGGTCTAGAGCCACTGACCACTAGAAGGTGGAATGTCTGGAACTAGAGAACTCCCTGCTAGCTAATGTTGAAACTGGAAACCCAAGGGGAGCTGGAATATATGGCTGTTTTGCCAAGAGAATAAGTCAAGACTAGGTAAATCCTTTGATCTTGCCAGTGTGGTAGCCAAGTCACTTGGAGGAAATGGGAGCAGAAAACTGATTGCTGATTGAAGAAACAAGCACACAGTTACCCAAAGCATGGGGTTCAGGATGGAGTCCACAGGAAGTAAGGGTTGACGCAGCTTGTCAGCAATGGCCACACTCCACCACTCAGCCAGCAGTCCCCCTCCTTGTAAAATAGAAATGGGTTTTTTGTTACTCAACACAGCCTAGTCTTTGGCTGTCAAGGGCAGAGGGCAGTCACCTCAGAGAGGTTACATTCCTGAGAAAAGGTTAACACTTCACCGGTATTTTAGTAGGTTCAAGAAAACTTTCAATAGTCCTTATGAGGCATGTTTTCTTTCTTCAAGCAATGCTTTTACACCTGTTTCAAGTTCTCTCCAGGTTGGTCACAGGGCATGTAGAGCAAGAAAAGAAAACAATTCAGTAAAACTTTACTGAGTACCTTCTATATGACAGAAACTGTGTCAGGTGTTGGGGTACATGCTTTGGGAGGTGGTGGTGACAAGTCAAGGAAGGCTCGCAAAAAAGGTGATGCCTGGTTTTTTTTTTTATTATATTGGTTTGCCTTTCTTTTATAGGAAATGTACATGGTCACCGTACAAAACTTAGAAAATGTAGGAAGGCATGAATAAGACAACAAGAACTACCCAGCATTCTGTACACAGTTTTGTATTCTCCTACTGTTACTTACTATTTTTTCATGAACTGGCATATCTTATTATTGTTACTTTATATTCTTCCATGTCATTCAAAACTCATAAAAATACTCAAAACTAGCATGATTTTTCACTGTATGGATATACCAAAATTTTATATCAAATTTATATTTAACCATTCTGTTACTTAGGTCAGCCCACTCAGGTTTTTCTAACTTTTCTCTGTTAGAAACTTAGCTGAGGCTCAAAGGATGATTAGCCAGACAGAGTGTGGGGGTGGATTATTCAGATAAAGAACAAGAGACCTACATTTTAAAAACTATATAAAATAGATTAATGAAATATTTCATTAATAATGAAAACAGTAACTAACACGAAGCACTTACTATGAATCAGTGATGTTCTAAGATGACATATTTTAGATATCTGATGGATATCTTTTATAGATATTAATGTAGCTCTTCCTCACAGCAGTCCTTTTGAACCCAAGCAGGTGCCCCCTCCACAGTGAAGCCTTTCAGACCTTTTCTTCTACAAGAGGCCCAGAGCCCTCCAAGCCTGAGTGTGGGAATTGGACTAGATAGTCAGTCATCATCAGGGCAATGGGTACACACAGGAACAGAGGAAAAGCAGGTTGCTTAGTTTAGATGCGACTCCACGATTTCCCCTCAATGGCTAATGTGTTGATGCACACAGCTGAGTTATTTTACAGGAGCTGAGATCCCACCAGATGGACCCCATGCTCACCACAAACATCTAGACCCCAGGCTGGTTGGAACCAGGAGACTGATGATTGAGAATCCCAAAATATCTCCTAGTGACCTAATGCTCAACCAATCAGAAGATGTCCAGGAGCTGATCGTGTGTCCTGAGACCCTTTCTCATAATTTTCCCTTTAAAAGCCCTTGCTTGTGAACTAATGGGGAGTTCGGAACCTTGGACATTAGCTCCCCATTCTCCTTTCTTGGTGCCCTGCAATAAACACCTATTTTTCTCTACTACACCCTAGTACCAGCATGGGGCTTGCTGCGCATCCAGCAAGCAGACTCGGGTTTGACTGCTTCAGTAGCACTCTGGGGTAGGTACTATTCATATCCCCTTTCACACAGGAGGAAATCAAAGCACAGAGAGGTAAGTAGCCTACAGAAGAACATACAGCTAATACATGAGAGATCTGGAAATAACACCCAGGAGGTCTGGCTTCAGAGATCAGTAAGTCAGAAAGGGGAAACATGCTTATTAGAAATTTGTTAAAAGCTTAACAGCCAAAGTTCTGTTATGATGATGTAAAAGGTCTTTCCGTTTTGCATTTTCCCTTTCTGTACTCTCAGTAAAAAAGCAGAGTACAGAACAGTGGAATCCAGGGATTTCTCTCTTTTCTTTAAAAATTTAAGGGAACTAAAGAGTGGTTTTCCTTATTTATTCTAAATACTGATCTCTGTGTCTGTCAGGGGGTGTACCCACGCTCACAGCAGTTCACTGTGCCCTGTGGTTTACAAGAAGGGGAAATTATGCTTGGCCAAGCTGACACCTCATTCACAAAAAGCAGAGGAGACCTGCACATTTAGGGAATCACATGTGGTTCAGAGGGTTGAGTCTTGGTTTCCAGGAAGTCTGAAGGTGGCAAGAGACAAAGCCAAAGAAGGAGGCAGGGGTCAGGTCACAGAGGAGAGGCTTCCAGTTTATGCTGGAAACAATGCAGAGGGTCTGAAGGATGTTCAACAGAGATATAGAGACTGATTTGAGCTTTAACAAAATTACGTTGGCTGCTATGTGACAGGACAGATTAAAGAGAGGCAACCTGTTTATAGGACCCTCTTAAAGCAGTTATCATGACTCCCACATTGCTGGCTTAGGAGCTTGGTAGGAAGTGATGCTTTCTACCGAGAGTACAGAAAGGGAGCTGGGGGACAGCAGGAGGATCAGATCAGTACCAAGATGCGTGCCCTGATCTACTGCACACACACACACACACAAAATGGCCAGGGGAGAATGACTCGAAGAACTCAAGATAGGAAAGGGCCTGGCTGCAGAAAGCAAGGAGGGGCTGCCTTAGAGACCGTCTCTCTAGAATGCTAGTAAGGGGCCCCCAGGATATTATTTCTCCCGGCATGAAAGGTGGGTAAGCCTGCTGCAACTTGACTCTGTGGGCCACACCTGAAAAAAGGAGGCCAAGACTGGGCCAAACCAGGGTGTCATTCTCAGTGGACCCATCCATGGAGCTCTGCTCCTTCAGGGAGAGAGCTGAGATTGACGCCCAGCAAAGTGGAGCTGCATGCCCGGAAACTGGAAGGAAACCAATCCATCAGGGGAAGGGCCAGGGAAGCACTGAGGAGGTGAGCAGAGCAGGACAAGGCAGTGATGTTGGATTATATGAATGGTTCAGCCAGAATTCCCTGTGCTCACGGCTGGGATGCTCTGCTGGAATGAGCCAGAAAGCTAGGGCACAAAGCAAGGCCCTCCGTGCTGAAGGATCCACCGTGCTGACTGCTGGGTACTCCCTGCCACCACCACCTGAGAGATCTTGGGTGGTCCCCAAAGATCAAGACTTTGAGACTAGCCTTTCTGATCCTTTCCTTCCCGTTACTATTTTAACTATATAGTGGGACTTTGGGCATTAACACATACTGTTACCCAAATCAGTGATTTATTCATTCATTCACTGAGTACTTATTAAGCTCCACTAGTGTCACGCATTGTGGCTATCATTGGAGATATGTCACTAAATAACACAGACAGTAGAATATAAAACTGACCAATTCCATCTATGTGATTGTAAACAAGTCATCAATTTACTGCATAGGAAATCTCTAAAACCCTTTTTCAACCAACTCAACCATCCTAAGTCTCCCTTACATTGTTCATTCAACATGTGCATATTGGCTTTGCATACATGTTATTTGCACATGTCTTTGCAAATATGTTGTTTTCCAGTTCAGTAAAATACACAAAACAAAGAGCTTTTTTCTGATTAGCAGATTGAGATGGAAAGTCTTACAAATATACAAACACTAAGATAGAATTTTATATTCAATAAAGCACCTTTATTAAAAAGAAAAAAATTATAAGAAATAGAGACTAAGACAATTCATCACGTTATAGTCATTATGTGCATTGATTTGGTTTAATCAACCAAGACATGGTATGAATTTGGTTTGAAATCAACAGGACATAGTCTACATTTTTTATGAGAAAATTACATAATTACAACATACTGCGGGAAGTGCTGTAATCTTAGAAGTAGATAATAAAGTCCACTATCAGAAAAGTGACTGATTCAGCAGGTTCCATTTCCTTCTCCTTGCCCTCCCCAACTCATAGAAGCCAGCTCTCAGAAACTGAATCACAAGGATGAAGGGGCTTCCCCAAGAAGTAACTAAGGGAATGCAATTCAGGGTGTCGATTGAGGGCTGGAGAAGAGGGGCTGGGGTGCAGAGGAGGCTGTCTGTGATCTAGAGTTCTCAAGGAAGCAAGTGACAGGAACTTCCACGTTGGAATGGAGAGTAACAAGGGAAGATCCCTGGATGCTAAAGCCCCAGTGAACCCTGTCAGGGCCATCGTCTTACCTTTGCTTTACCTCCCTCAGGACCAGCATTAGCAATCACAGGGATGGGATGAACACAGAGCCCATGTGTTTGAACAGCAGTAACTCTACAGACAGAAGAAGACCCAGTTTCTAAGATGTGGCCTTGCTTTGCTTATATCTTATTTACTCCATTGTTTTAGCCCCTTTTGGGAGAATTCAAAGTGCTCCTTGGCTTGGCCCCAATTTAGCTTCATCGTGCATATTTGCACCACCATTCTGCAGCCACAGGAAACTACTCACTCCTCCCTCTGAAACAGTAATCTCACACCTGTGCAAACTGATGCTAGTAAACAGCCCCCAGGATATTATTTCTGCCTGCATGAAAGGACTCTGTACCACCTGGACCTTTGTTGCCATCCCATTTGTGTATGTTCAAATCCTGTGCAGCTTTCAAGACCAAAGCAAAGTTGTATCCCTTCCATGAACCCTCCCAATCCTCCCAAGAGAGGTTGTACTGAGGGGCTCTGAGCTTTCAGCTATTTTTCTAGTCCTAGAACTCCTAGTACTTTTTGCTAAGTGCTGTGGTTACCTGTTTATATACTTTACTTGCCATTACTAGGCTAGGGACATCAAAAGGACAAAGGTCATTAAAAAGAATTAATTCTATTTCTCATTATAAAATGTGATTTGTGCTTATTTATTATGTAATAATAAAATAATAAAGGACAGAAAAGAAAAAAACATAGATCTGGCTGAGAGGGCTTTATTTATGTAAATATCTCACAGTTTCCTTAAAATAGTTCAGAGCGTGGAAATCAAGACTTCATTTGTGCAAAGCCCGTTAGACAGAAACTTCAGTATATCAAAAATGTCTTTAAAATTAAACAATTGACAAAAACCTACTTCCCAACTGGCGATGTTGTAAATGTTTTAAATCAAAATGTGCTCATGAATCTGTAGGCTGACCAGGAAGGTGATACGTTCTCACTTTTTAAAAAATGAGAAAAATTCAGAAAGAGGAAAACAAGAAAATTAATCACCCATAGATCTATCACACAAACAGAACTACTATTGACAATTTAGGGGATTTATTTCCAATACTTTAATTTTTTCCATGCCTAGTGTTTATGTATATATAAACCATATATATATACATATGTATATATATATGTATATATATATGGCTATATTTGTCATATATGTGTAGATACATATACAAACATATATATTTGTACAATTCTTCATCTTGTACAGTTTGTACAATTTTTCATCTTGTTTTACAACTGATATTATGCTATTTTTATACTATTTTACTTCATTCAGCATAAGGGCTTACTAATAAATAATCCAGTATATAGGTCAAAGTGTACTTTATCATCCCCTGATAGAGGAAAACTTTGTTTTCTTTATTTTAAAATTATAAGTGATGCTGGGTCAGGTACCTTGATGTTTGAAAATGCCTCCATATTCAGCTTTGTTTCTTAGAACTCTTTCCTAAAAATGTGTTTTCTAGGTTAAGGTTTATAAATATTTTTAGGCTCCTGACATATTAACATCCCCATGTGACGAACCTTTATGACCCTCAACTAGTGCCCCTAGTCACTCGGTGACTGTTCAGTGAATGGACAAATGGTGGAAGATGACCTCATGTTTCCTATCCTCTAGCAGGGGTTCCTTAATTCAGTTCCTTGCACCCAAGGGAGGCTAGTGCTACCCTGCACAGCATCATCACATCTATCCCACGGGCCTAGTTAGAGCAGCTGAGGAAGTACAGAGGTTTCAGTTCTGTAGGAAGGCAGGACTGGAAGGATCATGTATAGATTGTTTCTCATGGGAAGGGACCAGCTAAGAATAATCTTGGGTCGACACACGCCCCTGTCCTCTTGCTCACGAGAGAAACAATTTCCTCACAAGAAACCAGAACAAGTCATGAGTTACAGACTGAGACTTTAAGCTCAGAGAAGCTATTCTTGGATATCCTGAGTCCCTGTGGTCTCTTAGGACCCAAGTTGTGCAACACTCAGCATGACAGCACCACTATGCTTAAAATTTTCCCTCACCCCCAGATTCCATTTCCACACTGCCCCCCGCCACCCACCAGGGTTGCCTATAAAGAGCAGGGGAGATGGCTTCATACCCAGAAAGGCGCAGTCAGCAGTGAGTGCCCTGTCCCATTTCTGCTGACACTCAAGCCCACACTGCTTGTCTGCTCAGCATCATGAAGGTCTCCGGGGCTGTCCTTGCCACCCTGCTGTGCACCATGGCCCTCTGCAGCCAGGTCTTCTCTGCACCATGTAAGTCTGTCGCTGCTGTAGGCGGCCCCACTCTCTGGTCACAGTCAGACCCTATCAACCTTTTCATGTGGCCTCGGGAGCTCCCAAGAGAAAATAGAGAATTATTTCAAGGGTTAGAAGGCATCTTGGCCTTTCCCTTCCAGACTTTTTTTTTTTATGAAGAGGTCTTAGCTACCTTAGTCCCCAGATCTAACAGCCAGGGTGGGGTAAGAGAGTTACAGTCCTGTTTTACAGATAGCAAGATAGGAACCTAAACAAACGAGTTTGCGAGAGGCAAACTCCATGTCTGGCTACCTGGGCTACACACCAGTGGTGGTGTTCTTCCGCTAATTCACCCTGGGTGCCCCAAGAGCTCTGTCCCTTGGATGTCTTATGAGAGGTGCCCCAAGTTTCTCTTTTGCTGGGGTAGGACTTCTTGAACCAGATAAAATTTCCTGAAGGGAAATGAGATATGAGAACAGTCTGCCGGGATGTCTGGACCCCACAGAGAAAGAGAGGGCCCACAGTGGTAAGTCAGAGAGAGAAGGATACAGATAGAAACAATGACAGAGACAGGATACTTCTAGGCAAAATGCCAACGCCTTGCAGTGACCTTGCTCCCAGCCAGGGCCTTGGGCCGAGCCGCCCTCTCTGCTGCCCCTTGTCCTCTCGGGGGTCAGAGCTCAGAGCTGTGGCTCCGGCTCATTCTGCCCCCTCCCCCACAGTTGGTGCCGACACCCCGACCGCCTGCTGCTTCTCCTACATCTCCCGGCAGATTCCACGCAAATTCATAGCCGACTATTTTGAGACCAGCAGCCAGTGCTCCAAGCCTGGTGTCATGTAAGTGCCCATCTTCCTGCCCACTTCTGGGGGGAGACAGGGAGGGTCTGGGGTAGGGGCAGTGCCCAAGGGCACAGACATGCCAGGATGCCGACCTGGAAAGGCCCAGCCCTCCAGGGTCTCCCAAGCATGCAGGACCCAAGTCTCTGAGGTGTGACCTGACCGTCGAGGGCTTGCAGTTAGGAAGGCCCAGCCCAGAGGGAAGGGAGGGGAAGAAGGAGGTAGAAGCAAGATCCTCTGAAGGACCCTGAGTCAGTGAGAGCAGCAGTCTAGACTGAGATGGCAGATGGTCCCTAAGAAAGTAGGCAGGCCCTGAGCTGCCTGCAACAGAGGGTGGATGGAGGGGTCACTGGTGGACTCTTCAGTGTGTAATTCTTCCGACCCTCTCCACAGCTTCACAACCAAAAGAGGCCGGGAGGTTTGTGCCGACCCCAGTGAGACCTGGGTGCAGGAATACATCGCCGACCTGGAAGTGAATGCCTGAGTGACCTGGCAGCTTCGGGAACCCAATGATCTCAGTCATCTGGGGAGCAGGCATTTAGCCTTGGAAAAGCCCCTGTAACCTCCAAGCTACCTCTCCCTTGCTAGCTGTTGCCAAGCAACCCCACTCCAGGATTCTTCCTAACTTATGTGTCAACTTATTTATACTATTTAATTTTTGTAATTTATTTTCAGTGTCACACTGAAATGTGTTTGCGACTGCTCTGAGAGCTCCCAGGACACCTTCTTCTCTGCCCTTTCCCCCTTCACTTGCACTGTGATTGGTGACAATTGAGTGACTACCATCAGGCGCACCAAAGCTACCAGACTGACATATGCATGTTAGATGTTTCTGTTCGGTGCTGTGTTCAGCTCAGAGAAATAATAAAAGATACTCTTTTAAAATGTAAACTAGCATTGTTTTGTTCATCTGGCAAATCAGAATCACTGGTTAAAAAGAATTAAGAGGCAAAGAACAGGAAGGTATGAAATGGAGGGAAATCGGGAGAGACGGAAGGCAGGCTACCACAGAGATCCTCACATGAAATTGTACAGCTCAAGTACTATTAATACCCTCATTTGGCAGTACAGTAAACTGGGGCTGGGACTCAGAGAGGTTAAGCAACTTGGCCAAGATCCAACAGCCAGTAAGTGTACAATTGAGTTCCCAAACTACACTTTAATATGACTAAAGACCATGCTCCTAAATACTAGCCAAGGTATTTCCCAAAATGCAATTTATCTGTAGTCAAGTCACAAGCAATGACCGTTTAAGCCACTCACAGCAGAACCTCTAGATGTGGATCTAGGAACTGATATTTCTACCAAGCTTAGGAGTTCCACACACATGTTAACAGCTGAGAACCACTGAAATAGTCAATAGGATTCACTACTCTTTTCCTAATGTGCTACATAATGTGCATGTGGTAACAGGTACGTTGTACGTTATTTCCCTAGAATTTAGGCTCCATAAGATAAATGGTTAATGTCAGAGAAGGAAAAGATAAGCAGCCCCCAGGATTCTGGAGCAGTATTCTGTCTACAGATTTACTGTGAAAGTGGAGTTATTTAATAGATGGATTCCCTGAGTTAAAGTTATAACTACAAGAAATATACTCCGACCAAGGATCCTTTCAGCAGAAGGAGAAAATTCAAAAGACTTGTGTAAAAAACAGACATCTATAAATTTTTATGAGCTATGATTATCTCATTTTTGTTTAAAATAATCTTATTTTCTATCCATAATTAGTATTATAGTGATCAAACTCTAATTTAAAGTTCAGTTAAACTCTACTATTAAGCAAACACTAAACTGAACATACTATTTGACCTACATACCATTTGCCCTGCTTCTATTTCTAAGAATCTGTTTTGTAGCAACACTACCAAGAGACAGGAATATACAGGCACAGGTGATTTCCACCCATCGGAATCACTTTCTGGTTGGGATTGAGTTGACAGAAGATAGAGCTCAGCCTGGCCAGTCAGAACAGTCTTGATTCCATAATGGCTTTTACATAATACAACAAACAAGTCCTTTGCCAGAAGCTTTCATACCACGCATGCACACACAAAGCCCCTCTCAGGCAACATTTTACAAACCCCTTCCATTAGGTGGTGCACTATGCCCCTAGCACCTATCTATCAGGAGAATGGGAGGAAGAGCCTTTGTCCCCAAGGAAGCAGTGAAGTGGGGCACTATTTCTTCTCTATTGGCTTCCAGCATCTCAGCACACACAGAATCTGTTCGTTTACAGTAAACTGTTTCTCAAGGTCTGGCAATCCAAAGTCAAATGAGAAGCTCAACCATGTCCAACATTCCATAAATACAAGTGTGAACAAACTGAGTAACCAGAACAAAGAGAATGGGAATTGTCTGTTAACCAGTTTGTAGGGCATTTCAGAGCCTGAAGTATGACTGAGATGCTTGGTCAGCCTTCTGGTCAACCTCCTTGAGGAATGTTCTCCCTGAACTCATCTGAAATGTGCATATGGGAGGAGCTTTCTTTTGGGGGTGCCTACTTCCTGTCCATGAGAGCTAAGAGCCTGGGGTTTGCCTTTGGTGTTCTGCAATCAACAACTATTTTTTGTTTGACCTTGTGGTTTCTCTGGCAATGTAACACCCTTTTGAATGACAGTAAGTTTCTGATCTCTTTGCTTCTGATCAATTCCATGGGACTAGATAACCAGAAGCAGAGAGCTTGTCCAGTCACATATTTTGCTTTCACCTGGGGTTGGGAGTGTGTACTTCCTAATATTTCACTGGAGAAGGGGGGTGGGTTAAGAGTTGTAGTTGGATTCCAGGTTTCTCTCTCATTAAGTCTGTCCCCTCCCTGTCTCTGCTTCCACTAACTTAGCTTAGAGTCGAAAATTGTACATTTGCAGCCCTTACAGACTCCAGATTATTGGCTCTCAGTTGACAGATGACAGATTGAAAAGGCCTTTCTTAGCAAAGATGAATTTTTTTCCTTTTCCAATTTCAGATGAGCCCCTTTCAAAGTGGCCTAAACTCTTTCTTAAAAGACCTTACTGATGGGTGCAAAAAGTAGCCGTTCTATTTCAATATTAAGAATCTTTCCTATCAAATTCCTTAATGTTGCAGCCTTAGTATTTGGCACAAGGCCTCAGCACCATGACAGATCACCGTTCAATCAGTAATGGTACTACCCTGTAAAAGTGCTCTCGATAGCATGAGCATCACCTGGGAATGTGTTAGAAATGCAAATTCTAGGCCCCCCACCTCTTTGCCCCTTAGGGGGTGGGGCCCAGAAATCTGTGTTTTAACAAGCCTTCAGGTAAATCTGATACACACCAAAATTTAAAAACCACTTCCATTTAACAAGGTCCTCACCAAATTCCCTCCTACTTTTTCAGTTCAGCCAATCCCATCCCTCAGTCGGAGGCTGTTACTTTTAACAGACCCTGTACCTCTGCACAGATACAGGTCTCTGTATTTCTCAGCATGCTGGTAGTTTCAAGGAAGAAAACAAACCTATCCCAAAGAGGCTTGACTGAATGTACCCTTGTGGCCCAGAGCCTGAAGTACACAGGGTTAGCTTGGCTCCAGGCAGGGCTGGATGGGGAAGCCCTGGGACAGCCCCTGGTCCTACCTCCTTGTCTTTCTGATCTCCCTTCCAGTGTGAGATCCAGGGTGGCTTCCAGTGTTACCTGAATCCTTGCTCATTTTCTGCAGAGAAGAGAGAGTCTGTGACCCTATTGAAAAAAAAAAATCATTCAGTTCTTTGGGATTTGACTGCCCTTAGATCAGAAACCCAATTTCTAACCAATCACTGTGGTTATGGAGATGGGTTCCGTTGATCCACTTCAGTCAGCTACATACCTGGATCTGGGGGTTGGATGAATTTCACATAAACTGAAAGTCTGATAATTATGGGTAAGAGTGGCTTCCCAAAGGAAATGTGGGTTTCTGGTATTGGGAGGGGAGTAGAAAAGATGCTGGTCAGGAAAAACAGGTATTCACTATAACGTGTTTGTTTTTTTCCTGTGGATATTTTTCCTGATATGTGAAGGGCACCAACACTTGGTATGTGATGGACATTTCTTCTCTTTTGCTCTCTAGATTAAAAACTCTTAGGCTTCCACCTTCTGAATTACGTTATTTCTAAGAAGACACTGACTTCTGCATTTCCTGTTGCCCTACAAATGACTATTGCCCAAATCTGAGGCTACAGAGACATTAAGCAAACTAACCACGGGAATATGGGACTGCATGTCAGCTCCAAGACTACTATGTGGGGTAAAACTGGCACTGCCACAAACATCACCCACCCTGCTTCATATAAGCCAAAGACCAGGGATCGGAGAAAATGAGAAAACTCTCAGAATTATGAGTCATCATTACTCAGATTGCCCATATTGAGAAAGAGAGGAGAGTCCTTTATGTTGGGTTGACAAAGGAATAGATGACAGGGCGTACCTCATCCTTGCTGCTTCTGTTCCCTTACTTTTTTAGGAATAGCATCCACAAAAAAAATATGGAATTGACCACATTCCCAGATACGAGGTAGGTCCTTGATTACAATAAACCCATTTGCACCTTGTGTTATTTTCACCTTATTAGAACATAAGCATTTCCCATGCCATTGCACTGTTTGTAAAGGCTCCCTCGTAGGCAGTCAAGTGAAGATACCACAATTTTGTTCACCATTTTCATATTGTAGGTGATTTAAATTGGGTCCAATTAAATTGCTATCAATATGCTGGGGACCAAATGTTCTTATGCTTTTTTCCATATTTGAATTTATTTACATAAGAAATAGATCCGTAGTCATGGATGATTTTGGCCAAAGACTAAGATCATATTAAGGTTCTTATGCACATTAGCATCCACACCTAATGCGTCTTGATGCCCGTGAGCATTTCAGGATCTATGATGAACGTCTCTTGAACAAGCCATGTCTGAAAGGCTGCCTAGATCCTCCTCACTCCTGAAGCCTAGGCTTTGTTAATACAGCGCTGCCCGCCTGCATGTGGTTTAAGGTGGGTTGTGCTGTCCAGGACTCTCGGCTTCATTGCATTTGTCACATCTATGTGGTTAGAACAGCTGTGGAATAACATAGAAGTTTCTGCTCTATTGGAGGAAATTAATGAGATGGAACCATCGAAGTGTGGTCCTAGGGTGACACCAAAATCTCACCTCTTCTCGCTATGGAAACCACTTCCCCATCAAAAGCTCCAGTCAAGTGTGTACTTGAACTGTTCTTGCAAATACTCTGAGCCATGTGGTTACCCAAGACCTCTCTTGCCTGCACAAGTCAACAACACACCACCATGCTTAAAAACTTCCTCTCTTGTTGCCCCCAGTTTCCATCTCCCCAAGGTCCAGGGCCTACCTGTTAGGATTAGGGGACACGGATTAGATCCCAGAGGGAGGCTGGCCACAGTGGGTCTCATCTGGCCCACACTCTTGGGCCCTTGCTGCCCTCCTCAGCGTGGCCCTCCGCGTCAGGCCTCCTCTCACGGATCTCTTCCTATTTGCTGGCGTTCCTCCACTCTCTGGCTAAGATGGAACGTGCCACCAAAGTCCTGGGGACAGGGGAGCCCAAGTCCCCTTGGCTCCTTCCCAAGGGATTTTCAAAATGCCCCGCACTACCTGTTCAAGGGGCTTTTCTTTCCAAAGGGGTTTTAGCCTTCTATCCTCTGTACCTGGAAGACAGGGTAAGAGCTTATCCTATTCCGGAAATGAGATATTGAGTGAGTTTTCAACAAGGCAGAACCCAGCTTAAATTGCTTCCCAGTGACCAGCCAAGCAACAAACTCACCTTGGCGCTCTTGCTGGAAAAATCTCTTCTTAGGCCAGATTAGGTTTCCCAAATAGAAATGGAAGAAGAGGCAAGCTGTTCCATTAGCTGTATTCCCTGCAGATGGAGGTAGGGACCCAACCTGAGGTTAGAGCAAATACAGAGATAGAGGAGGCGGTCTGAGACCGTGAGGTAGGAAGATCCTGAACCTATCTCCTTCCACAGGCACACCGAATCTGCAGTTAAGTATGGAACAATTTCCCCTGAAAACTAGCTGAGCAGTTGCTTCACGTGAGCTAGGAAGAATGGAGCAACACAGAGGCAGGTAGGACAGGCCGAGACACAGTCTAGCCATAAACCACCTCCACTCCAGCCCCACCCCCACCCAGGGCAGCAACTGGCAATCAGAAGAGAATTCACAAACCGCAGCTGCTCCCTGAGGTGCAAAGCATTTCTACTTCACATCAGGCACTCCAATTTTCAAGAACTGCCCCTGAGAGACAAACCCCCAAAATATCTGGCTTTGAAAACCCTGGGCATGTGGGGAGGCAGGCCTCCTAAGGGCTGGAGCACAAATTCTCAGGGCCCCGCACGGAAGTAGCCATTTGAAAAGTACTCAGACTCTACGTGGAAGAGATTCATTCGCTGATCTTACAGCACTGGCCTGAGGGGCGGGACCTGTTGGGAAAGGCTCTGGGGACAGAGAGCTGGTGGCCACCAGTTTTGCGCTCGCCCTCTGCTTTCCTAGAGCCAGCTGGCAGGTGCTTCTTTTTTTCTTCTTACCTCTCGAACCTTTTCTTTTCTTTTTTTTTTTTCTCAGCAGGTACCCTCCAACCGGCTAACAGCATCTTTTTCTTCTTTCTTTTGCTGGGACAGCACCATCCTTTCTCTTCGTCCACCACAGTCCACAGCACCCGTGTCTTCCAGTTGGGAGCTTTTACACGTGTCTGGTGCCCGGATTTTACATCTGGTGTCCCGGTTTTCACGGCTGTCACCCAGGGGATGCCCGTTGAACCCCAGGCTCTAGTGGCCAGGAGGGGCTTGCGTTTCTGGGTCGTAATGGTGGGGGAAAGCAGGCTACCACCCCCAGGCGCCGCACAGACGGCAGACTGAAGCATACCCCAGTCTCCCTGTGAAAGAGGCCTATTTGCTGGTCCTGGTGCTTCTGCCTGAGAGGCAGGCTCAGGTCTGGCCCACATCTAGAGGCCATGGAGGAGCTCTCAGAGGAGGCGGGCTGCAAATGCCATCTTGGCGCTCTCCCTCTGCCTGGCAGCCCCTGGCCAGTATCTCCCAGGAAGGAGCTTATACTCTCATTTGAAACCCTGATTTTTGCCATGACTGCTCAGGGGACACCTCCAAATCACCTGGTGTGGTGGCCAGTGGGGCTTATGCTTGCAGTCCAACAGGATTGTATATATTTGCATATTTTAAAAGCTGCTGTCTGAGGGCCTGGCTTCTAATCAGCCTGAATCTAGATGCTGACTGAGATCCTCCCTTTGGGACACTGATAGAGCACACCCTCAACAACTGGGAGCTATTTATTAAAAATAAAATGGGCTGCTTAGACAATCTCAAAGATCGTAAAGACAGCAGAGAGCTAAGGCAAGACTGACTGCCAAGCCTCATCTCCTACATGAGGCCACCCTGTCAAGACTGGGAGAGGTGGCTGTTGCGTCTAACACATAGGAACAAACAGAGTCAGGCAAAATGAGGGAACAGGAGAGTATGTTCCAAAACAGAGAACAAGATAAAATCTTGGGAAAAAAACGAGAAATGAGAAATCTCCGATTTCCTTCCAGTTCTCCTCATCCCTAAATCCTTACTACTGAACAATGCTATCTCCATCGTTCTGACTTTATCCCGGGGCAGAAGGAGCTGGCTCAGTCTTTCCAATGAAAAATGACTCAGGCTCAGGCTACCCCTTTCTTCAGAGAGAGGAGAGAAAGCAGCCAGCCTAGTGGGTTCCACATTTGTGGAGGATAAGTCATTATTTTTCCTCTTCTTGAAGCCCTGTGAAGGGGGTCTTGAGGGAGTATCTTGTAAAACCTTCAAGTGACTTACTTCACAGTTGGATGTTCTAGATGAAGCTCTCAGATTGAGGAGAGATCAGAAATTGAGAAACATGGTTTATGGTGACCCTTGAGGACCCCTGGGCCAAGATTTGCCTAAAGCTAATCTACTTCTTGAAGCTTCGGTTATGTGCACTAATAACTGACTTAACTTTACGAGTTAAGTCAGATTGAGTCAGCTTTTGTGATACTGTAACTCAAAAAATCCCTCACTGATACAGACTTCCGCGCTGAAGTAGCCCGCCCCAGGAAGTAGAACTGACCGAAGGCAGAAGCTGAGGTCAGTCCATGAGGACACCTCTAGCTAACACAACCGCTGGTTACCACCATGGCCTGTAAGATATTTTTACTAAAGCCATCTGCCTACCAAGGTTGCACCAAAAAGGAGAATTAAAGACTTCTTGCATAAGTCTGTAAAGCCATTAAGAAAGACATTAGCTCCCTTTGAAATTTGCTGGTCTGATAGCAGAGAAGGAAAAAAATAATAATTTTCCTGAGAGAGGCCCTTTCTGCTTGCTGCCTGCAGACCAAGCTGACTGAGAATCAGTGATACGGAGCTTGCAGCCTGGAAACGCAGAATTCTCCACTCCAAGGTAATGCTGGTATAAGCAGAAACGGGAAGATGGGACACTAGGAAGGGCCAAAGAGTAGGGCCCGTAAGCAGCCTTATCCACTCTCTCCTCAGACCCCTCCTTTTAAATATCTATCTTTGTGGACTTTGGAATCCTGTTCTTTGTAAAGACGCAACTGGGAAGCAGCCGGAGGCAGGGAGCCAATTATCGTGACCTCCACCCCGTTGTTTCAGCAGCAGAGGGCGATGTGGAGCTAGAAGTCACTGACACGGAGAGGGTGTGTGGCAGGGACAGGGGCGACCAAGAGCTCCCAGCGCTGTGGCGTGAGGGAGGTTTTCCGAAACCCAATTCTAGACAAGAGACACGAGGTGACAGATTTCCAACTTCTAATTTACCATCCTGAGGAAGTGACCAAAAATAGATCAGAAGCCTCGAAAAATTGGAAGGGAGCTGTATTGCTTCTGAAACCCCAAGGCTGTCCCCAAACACCCTATGACTGCCCCCCAACAGTGGTTCTCAAACTGGCTGTGCATGAACATCACCTCCAGAACTTTAGAATTACTGATGTCCAGGCCCCAACTAAGCCCAGTTGAATTCCTAACTTTGGAGGTGAGGTCCTGGTACTGAGGTTTTTAAAAGCTCCCCCCAAGTGATTCTACTGCAAATTCCATGTAGAAATGCACTGCTCTGCACTTACACTGATCCTTAGGCACCCACCTCCCACTGGAAATAACCTCTATAAGAGGTATTCACATCAAGTAGGGTTACCAGACAAAATACAAGATTCCCAGTTAAATTGGAATTTCAGATATACAGCAAATAACTTCTTTGTATATGTATCTCACAAATACTACATAGAACAAACTTACATTAAAAATTACTCATTCTGTATTCTTATTTGCTAACTCTAGCCCCTATGCTCACCTCCAATATGGCTATGGAGAAAATTACCCCAGAAAACAGAGTGCAGAGCAGAGAGGGTGACCCGGGCTCTCAGCCAACTGGCAGATAGGGAATCCTTGCTAGACTGAAATCAGGGTTTCCTACACTGTCGCTAATGTAAGAACTCAGCACAGCACCCAGTACCTGGAAAGCCCTCAGCAAATGTTAGCCATCATTCTGGGGAAAGCTTTATTTATGAAAATTAATTTGTGTGCACAAAACAGGTCACAGTATGCATCACCTTGCTATTAAGTAGAAAAACTTCTTAGCCATGTTAATTATGATTTGGTTATAAAATAATGTGCCAGTTTCAACTATCCAGAAAAGTGCCTTCAGGGAAATGTCTCTTATCGTATCGCTGTACGGGTACCCTGTCCCTTTTTCATGGTTTCTGCCTCTTTGCATATGTGCCTGCCCCTCCCCCAGTGGTCTCAGCCTGTGACACTGATCAGTGGAGAAAACAAAGCCATACAGCCATCACAAGGAAAACGCTGGTTTACCTTTTATATAAGTGCCTTCAAAAGTTTGAAACACAGTGCTGGGCAAAACCATTCAATAAGCATTTGTTGTTTGATATATATGTGATACAAATTCTGCAAAGAGAGCTAATCACACTGATTGATCCACATATTGAGTATGAGAACTGAAGAGGAAGGAGGGAGGATGGGGAAGAGGATAGCATGAGATGGCAGAGAAAATATTCATTACAGCACACAATTCAACAGTGGAAATTCATTACAAAAGTTAAATAAGATATATAAACTAAAATTAAAGTTAAGGAGGAACCCAGAGTGTGGCTTGGGTGGGGGGCAGTGTGACCCAGAGAAGAGGTGCATTTCAGAGTTCCAATGTCCCAGCTCAGGTGCCTGCTCCCCAATCTGCCCAGAGATGTAAAACCTTCCTCGTAGCTTCTAAGCCACTCAAGCATTCAGCTCCAGGTAGGTGATGTATTCTCGGACCCAGACCTTACCGGGGTCAGCACAGATCTGCCGGCCTCTTTTGGTTTGGAAGCTGTGGAGAGGGGTGAAAGAATTACACACTGAGGAATCTAGCAGGAAATCCTGGGCCCACCATGCTCCCCCTATCTTCCTCTACCTCAGACATCTCAGGACCTGTCCATATGCTCATAAAGTGTACCCTTCACCTTGGGGGCCCCAGACCAGGTCAGAAAGTACAGCAGGTGTCTCCCCTGGTGTCCTGAGCTCTCTTGGTTCTTAGAGGGCTGAGTGCCCTGAGGGGGAGCTTCACCCCAGACTCCCCAGTCTCCTTCCCCAGGATGGGCAGGAAGACCCGTCCTTACATGACACCGGGCTTGGAGCACTGGCTACTGGTCTCATAATAGTTGTCCACAAATTTGCGTGGAATCTTCCGGGAGACATAGAAGAAGCAGCAGGCGGTCGGAGTGTTGGCACCAACTGTGAGAGACAGGACAGAAAGATCCTAAGTCATTATTCAGAAGAAAGGGCAAGCCAGCTGCCCCTTGAGGGTCGGGAAGAATGGGAAGGCACAGCTCTGCTGGGATGCGGAGGGGTGGGGATGTGGGGCAAAGGGGTCCAGTGAGAAGCTGGCATTTCTTCTGTTCCCTGACATTTTATTTTTGTGTCTTTCTTTCGGTTTTTCTCATTCTGTTTGCCTTGGCTGGGGTCTCTGTGTCTCTCTGCGGGGTATTTAGTTCTCTGAACAAACCGCTTTTCTCCCTCTCACTGGGGAGTTCCAGCTGGGAGTTCCTGAGGAGAGCCGAGGCCACAGCACTGGGGGACCAACAGACATAGATACTACCTCCTGCTGAAATCCCAGTGGGGCCTCCATCTTCCCATCCATAAAACGGGACTTCCTCCCACTCTCTCACAGAGTGGGGAAACAGAATCGCTAAAACCCTTTGGGAAGGAAAATGCTCCTTAAGAAATGGCCGCTGAAGCCTCTGAAGTTCTCTGCTTAGAGGCACTCACGAACACGACTTGCATCGTGGCCCAGGCCACAGCCCGAGAGCGGGGACTGGGGGGAAGGGAGGACACACTCACACAGAGCAGGGTAGGTCTGGGAACAGAAGGCCGCGGTGAGGAGCAGCACGGCCAGGGCAGCCACGGGGACCTCCATGACGCCGGGCAGCGAGCAGAATGTGAGCGCAAGCAGAGGCCAAGCAGGGTGGGGACTCGGGGACTTGCAGCTGCCGCCTCCTTCCGGGGTCTAAGCCCGGTCTTCTCTATATAGGCAGCCTTGCAGCCTTACAAGATGGAAACTTGGGGGAACCCGAGGGGTAAATTTTTAATCACAGAGTTGGTATTATGCTGTGAGTCGCAATAAGCCTGGAGAGCTCTGGGTCGCCACAAAGGTTCAGGCTATGTGCAAGAATGGTTCAGCTGCTTACTTGACAGGGAAATGGTTTCCACGGTGAGAGGAGGTGAGATGATGGTGTGACCCTGAGATCAGGTTAGCAGACACTTTCTCACAAAAGCAGGCCTGCAGATCAAGCAGTTCCCCCATAGAGCTGAACCTTCTGATACCCACCCCAGCTGTCCCAGTGGTATAGCTGTGACATAGAGGATGATGCCATGGAGTCTTGGGAAGCATGACCTCAGCTAAAACCACCCACTGGAAGGAGATGGCAAAACTGGGGAAGCCTCGGCTGTAGAATGGGCAAGATGGAGGAGGGCCTTTCAGGCTTCGGCTCTTCCCATCAGTCATTGCATCTCTACCACATGTTGTGCCACTCAAGTGGCTTAAAATCAGCTTCTTTGTGTTTTAAGTGCCTGACAAGCTTTTGACTGCTGAGGCACCCATTTCAAATTTCCATCTCGAATAAACACATTTCCAGCTACACAACTAGATAAAGAGCCAGGCAGCCCATCCATGAAATTCCCCTTTCAAAAAGCCCTTGGTGATGTAGGTAACCAACCATTCGCATGACCTGCTTTTCCTTCCCATGCTCTAATTCCGCTCTTATGTTTTAAATTCACCAATAAAGAATGAACCCACAAAATTAGTTCAACCATTGTGGAAAGCAGTATGGAGGTTCCTCATAATGCTCAAAATAGAAATACCATTTGACCCAGAAATTCCACTTCTAGGAATTTACCCTAAGAATGCAGCAGCCCAGTTTGAAAAAGACAGATGCACCCCTATGTTTATCGCAGCACTATTTACAATAGCCAAGAAATGTAAGCAATCTAAATGTCCATCAGTAGATGAATGGATAAATAAGATGTGGTACATATACACAATGAAATATTACTCACCCATAAGAAAAAAACAGATCCTACCATTTGCAACAACATGGATGGAGCTAGAGGGTATTAGGCTCAGTGAAATAAGCCAGGCAGAGAAAGACAAGTACCAAATGATTTCACTCATATGTGGAGTATAAGAACAAAGGAAAACTGAAGGAACAAAACAGCAGCAGAATCACAGAACCCAAGAATGGACTAACAG